ATATAAATTATATCTATATGTTTTCCCACCTTGATTGAGAGAGGCAATCTCAGCCTGCAGAACACTCGGCAGAACACTTGGTTTATCAGAGTCTGCAGAGTAAAAAAATGAAGGAAAAATGGTGAAACAGGGAATGAGCCTATCAACCTTTTGTTCTTTAACATCAACATTATCTCAAATCTCAAAAAGATAAAAGAATATAAGGTCCTGCCGAGGCAGCTGGAAGTTGAAAATATAACATACCATTTAACCAAAATTTTTGCAGTCCATCCCTGCCAACAAGATAAAGAAACTGAGCGAGTATATTTTAGTTAATCGTTCAATATTTTTTTTTACATGAAGAAAGAAAGTAAAAATAGAAAACAGCACATGGCTGCAGAAAGACAAGGGACATAATGTTCTGGTAGGAAAATAATGTGGGTCAAAGAACCAGATGTACTGATAAGACAATTTAAACGAAGGCTAAAGAAAAAGTAGGCAAAATATTATAAAGAACAATCCTCGACATACCTCGACTTTCAGTATTTCCCATTGTGTAGAAAGCAGTAGTGGTCTTGTGGTCTTTATTCTTCCTTTACTCTTGCTCTCACAGCTGATCTGATCTCTCAAACGTCTCGACATTCACATGGAGCTCAGCTTATCTCAATGAACATCTCGAGACTTTCTGGCAAGACGCCACATCTCCAATGTAACCTAAAAAAGTAAAAGTAATAATTATAATTAATATGATTTGGTTCTCTTACAAATTTGTCATTTTTTTACATATATGACAGCTCCCATGATTAGGCTATAGAATCGTCTAATGTTAGAGCTACCGATACCAATTTTTTTACCCTCCATATATTATGGACATCTAGGATCTCGATGGGATCAGCATGTTATACATTTGTACAGTGTTGTTCACGCTGCCTTATCCTGAAGCTCGACCTGAAATTACACAAGAAGCAGAATCTAAAAGGGATTTACAAGGTCTTTTCAACTCTCTGATAACTCATTAATACTTATAGACAGATGTTTAAACATGATAATATGTACCTCCTCATAATTTACAGTACTGCACTAAAAAGCAGCATCAAAATCAAGGCTGCTGTTTCCTTCAATAAAAAGACTGTCATCACTTGATAATTGCCTTATGGTACTGGTATCAATTAATGCAAACTTCTGAATTCAGATCAAAAGGCGTAGCAATTTTAATTAAAGGTGTAAGATAGGCCTATCAATCACTATAGATATTTATAATAAGTAAACATTCTTTAGACATACGGAATATAATATGTAAGGTCCAAGCATCGCGTTTTGCACATATAAAACCTATAACATATGAAGCCTACCATAAAGGCTATATATATAATAGGCCTAAAACGAAAATGACAAAATCCAACACAAGGTAAATTTTGTATCAATTCTTTTCCAGACAAAAGTAAAAGGAAGAAGTAGATCTAGATTAGTAAAGGTATCTTTGTTTGTATCTCTGTTGTTTTTTCTTTTCTTTTTCAAGAATTGAATAAACACAATAAATATATTAGGCCTAGACTCTAGATCTATGTCAATATTATTTAAATCTTACCTGACTCTTCGTAGTAGCAGAATCTAAATTCTAAATCTGGATTCTAGAAGAACCAAAACCCTCCGGGACGGACGACAGGCTGTTAAATAAGGTTGTATTCGGGTTCAACCCAGAAAAGCAAGTCAAGACAGAAACAAAATAATAATTCATAGATTTATATAGGTCTAGAACAAGGACCTTGCAAAAAGCCTTAGACTTAGCCTAGACTTAGGGCTGCTGTAAAAAAAAACCTCTTTGGCCTGGAATCCTGGAACGAGACAGATTTGCCCAAGTAAAAATGGCACTTTCCGCCATGATGAATAACGTAACACTGGGAATTCCCGATCATGAGCGGGCCACAGCCCCCACTCCTCACCCCTTCTCGTGTAGTGAAGCCCTCTGCGCAAGCTCTCTTCTCTTTGGAGGAGAGGTTCAAGGGTGGGGGGGGGTATTATAGCTCTTGTTTTGTTGTGCATAATATATGATTAAGAGTGCTCCCTCGAATGTACATGCATGAAT